GTGTTCAGGGTCTCACTACTAGATCAGACTTGTAGTGATTCTCCTTTTTACAGCCTCCCAAGTGCTGGAATTACAGGTGTGCATCATCATGCCCAGTCTCAATTGCCCTCTCAGTGCACTCACAGGGATTGAACCTCCGACCCCTGCGCCTGCTTGTAGGCACTTTAATCTCCTGAGCTGTTTGGCCAGCCCAAGATATATGAATATTTAAAAGAAAATAGTGTTCTAAAGAATATTGAAACTTTCTGTTTTCTTTTCTTCATGATTGTACTGTGTACAAAATGGCTTAATGTATTTGTTTTAACCATTGACATTTTTTATAGAGAAAAAAATCTTCATGGAACATTTTACAAATGATCTAACATATGTAAAGAATTACATGGACCTTGCAAACAGATAAAAGGGCAAAAAGAATGTCCAATTTCAAGGTTTTTAGTCTCTTCTACATTGCTTTAATCATCCCAGTTTGTCTCTTTTTACAAGGGAATGCTGTATTAATGACTCAGTTTTGCATCTCTCTGTTACACTAGAAATCAGTCAGAATGCCTCATTAGTCCAGAGTAAACCACAACATTAGAATGTTTATATAACAATTTAATAAAGCGGAAATGCTTGATTGTGGTTTTTAATTCACTGTTTAGTGCTTAAGAAAAAGGTTTTGTGGTTGTCCTTGTCATACTTGTAATTGTCATTTGACCATATGCTATTGGATGTAATGTAATGGGGCTGCCTTTATTAATTAAGTTTAAATTAATGCCATCAGTAGCTGATAACTAGAGGCTCCTGCTTTCTATGAATGAGATTCTTAAGGCAGTAACCAAGATTTTATTCAGATTAAACCAAAGATTTATTTTTAGCACTGTAGTTTGTGTAACATGAGTTTAGCAGAAGATCATTTTTATGCTTTATAACATGTTATATGAATTATTTATATTATCAGGTATAGTGCAGGCATCATAACAGAAAAGTATTCATGATTCTGTTTTAATTCTGTCATAGTGGGAACTGGAGAAGGATGTCTGTATGTGTTGAATGTGATGTAAGATATGGCATTTTTAGCCACAAAGAGGGTGGAAGTCCCAGATGAAGAAATCATCATGCAATATATATTCTTAATGAAATTTTAGTAAATTCTTGCATAATAAAAATATTTTACATAGTACTCTATCAACTAAATATGTCAATTTTGCATAGCACTATTACTGATGTAACTGTATATAAATGATGCTTGTTCAGGCTATTAAAAAAATTAAGCTATGAGTTTTGACCTGTGGATCATAGGAGAAGCTTAGATAGTTGTGACTAGAATCAGGGTTGTGACTTATATGTGTATAAGGTGAACACAATGTTTTCTAAATTTGCATTTGTGGTTATTGAGAAATTATAGATTATATAACATATAAATATAGTTTTATGGTCCAGGTCTGTACTAGAAGATAATCTCAGAAGAGTCAGTTTCTTTAAGAGAGTCCCTTGATTTTTAAAAAAATAAAAATTAGGGCCAGGGAGATAGTTTAGCCCAGTACTGCATGCTATACCAGCCCCACACCTAGTTGACCACCTATCTGAACTGTGTAGTGAGACCCTGTACCAAATAAATAAATAAATAATTTTTTAAAATACAAACAGAAAATGTATACCTGTGTGTGATATAGTGCTGCATCCATAAAAAGTTCTTGGATAGTGAGTAAGTCAGGATCCAATTGCAGCCTGACTTGTGCAGAACAACTTTAGGATAGTTACCTGTATACCAAAGATATCCTAAAGTCCTAGATAGACCCACACTTGGAGTTTACAAACTCAGGAGCCATCACCACTAGCACAACTGTGATTACTTTGTTGCTGTGTGTACTCTGTGCAGACTACTTAGGACCATATGTATACCAGGAAAAATAATCATTCCTGTTTATCATGTAGGCTTAGTAGACAGTCCATACACATACATACACACAAATATTTTCAAATCGCTTGATAGACAGTTTACAGAAGTGAAAATAAAAGATGTCATGGAAAACAACTATGTGAATGGAACAATAACACGTGTCTTCATATCAGAGTATTTGGTTCACAAACATGAGGTGGGAGAATGAGCACTATCTTTTTAACAATACAGGATGGACACTTAACCTTAAATAAGCTCTGTCTGTTGCATTGTTAATTGTATGAGAATGTCATGTTTCCTTTTTATCCTTAGAAATAGATTTTTTACTTACTGATTCTTGAGTTTAAGGAAATTCATCTAGGATGGAATTCTCTGAAGACTTGAATTCTGAGATTTAACTGATTTATCAATTATGCTACCAATACATAATTTTTAAAATTATTTATTTATTTCATACAGGGTCTCGCTTTAAAAATCCTCCTGTCTCAACCTACCCATTGCCAGAATTACAGGCGTGTGCTGCCATGCCCGGTTTTGGTGGCTGGTTCAGCGCAGGGCCTACATAACATGTAGTGCGGTGGATTGGACCTGTGTCCTTGCGTTTGCCAGGCAGACCCTTAGACTGCCAAGCTATCTCCCCTGCCCTCATGACCTAGATTCTCAAGAATGTGTCTCTAGGGCCGGGGAGATGGCTCAGTGGAATAAGTGCTTCCCTGGCAAGCGTAAGGGCCTGAGTTCAATCCCCCGTTCTGCAAAAAAAAAGAATGTGTCTCTACATTTGTGTTAGTTTCTTAGAAGTACCATAACAAATTACTACAACCTGTACACCTTAAAACATCAGAAACTCACACATACATCCAAAATTATGGTATTACATAGGGGCATGCTTTCTCAAAGGCAAGGGTTCTTTTCCTGCCTTTCCCAACTTCCAGTGGCCTTAGGTGTTCTTTACCTATGGCTGTACTCCATTCTTTGCCTGTGGTTACATTGTTTCCTCTTCTCCACAAAGCTTCCTTTGTGCTCTCTCTTCAAAGGGTGTGATTGCTCTTAAGGCCCCACTGGTAATTCAGCATGCTCTTCTCAAATCATTTAATACCACTCTCCTTTAAAGATAATTTGCTTGTACAGTAATCTTGAATAGTTTAAAAAATAAAAGGTTTCTAAGAGAATATATAAGTCATACACTGATTCATACAGGGAGTTAAAACTACTCAGAAAAAGAACTAAAAATGTAAAAGTTAATAAATGGAACCTGAAATTATACAAAGAATAATGATTAAGTAAAAAAAAAAAAAAAATTCCCAAAAAGCTGTGGCACATACCTGTATCCCAGCTTCTTGGGAAGCCCAGGCAAAAGATCACAAGTTCAAGGCCAGTCTGGGTAATTTGGTCAGACTCTGTGTAAAAATAAGTGTTAAGAATGTAGCAATGTGAGGCCCTATATTCAGTTCCAAATACAATAAAAGGGGGATACCAGAGGCAGTTTCTAGAATCTTTTAAATAATATGCATTAAATCATTTTATGTTCTCTTAAAATCATTCTGTAATTGCATTTCCAGTTCAGTGTGTTTCATTGTTATGTATAATGCTCTTATTAGTCTGTTCCAATGTGTGCCATCATACTCTGATTTGATACTATCCACTTAATCCCCACATTAGAGGTGCAACTTGGGAAACTAATCAGTATTTTAAATGTAAATCACTCCACATGAGAACATTATATATATATATATATATATATATATATATATATATATGCTTTTGGACAGAAGGATATTAAATAAAATGTAAAATCTTCAGTGATTTATCTAGGGCCAGTGGATATCTAGAGACCCATTTGGAAATACTAATTTCAGTTCAGTATTCATAAAGGTGATCTTTGAATCTCTACTGACTTTGACTCGCACAGGTTAACCTAGACTTGCAGAGCATGGAGTTTTGAGTGTGGGGAAGGGCAGAGTTTTGATTATAGAGAAGCTGTCAGGGGCTTTGAATTGATACAAGAACATTAGTTAGCAGGAATATGCACAATGTGGAGATAAAGGCCCCTGTCCAACAGAGTTCATGTAACAGGAGGTTACAAGGGCAACTAGTTGTTAAACAGCAACTAGTTCTCCTTTGTATTAAGTGATGGTACAAAAAATGAAAAGGTCTATGATAAATGAACATTATGTAAATAAGAATTTTCAAGTATAAACAACAGCTCTCAGTTTTTCATACTATTTTAAATATTTGTTTACTAATGTAATGCTAACTACTTTTTGGTTTCTGGAAGTTGTGTTTCTCAGGAACCCACCTAGCCTGCATAGGCTGTAAGGTTGGCCTGTTCATACCATCCTGTTTTACAAATAGACCAAGACTCAGCTAACGTAAGTGCTCTGATTCACCTATACTGGAGCCTTATTTGCCTGTTCCCCAGTCCTTTCCACAGGATCTATGTTTTTTTACTCCTGATTGGTTGACCCAAAGATAGGCTTTACACTGCAGGACTACAGGCTAAACAGTGGCTACTGGACTCTGACATGCTTTTTTTTGTATCTTTCTTCCCCAATATTAGAACTTAATTATTGTTTCTAGACCCTTTTTAGAGTATCTTCTTAAATGGAAAACTAATGGACCAATCTCTGTCTATCCTGATAGGAAGCGATTTGACAGAGCTGAAACTGAGTATGTTAATGCAAAGCTAGATCTGCAACGCAAGACTGAGATAAAGGAGCAACTCACTGAACACCTCTGTACCATCATACAGCAGAATGAGCTCCGAAAGGCCAACAAGTTGGAGGAGTTGATGCAGCAGCTTGATGTGCAGCCTGATGAGGAGTCCCTGGACCTTAAAGTAGAGATGGAAGAGGAGGCAGAGGCAAGGAAGCAAATGGTTGCTGTAGAAAGGCCATGTCAGCCTGCCCCAGAGGGTGTGACTCCAGGGCTTACTAAAAAGAGCAAAAACTCTCAAGAACAAGCTGTTTCCCCAAAGGGTGATGAACAGTGTGAAAATTCCAGTAGCTTCTCCCATCCAAGTCCAGACTACACAATTCAAGAAGTTAATGAT